GCCACAATTTGTTAATATGACACAAGAGGGGACATAGGTTTCCTGGACAAGAAGGATATAGTGAAACAAGCACTGCATTTGGACAAAGCATTTTGCCTACCCTAGCTGTGAGTTCACCTATCAGGGAAAACAAATTGCTGACAAGGCTTCAAGGCTCAAGCTAAGCTAAGGAAATGCTTTTCAAGCCCTTGTCATGAAACACCAGTTGGGTTTTAACTTTAAAGTGAAAAACCTTATTAATTAACCACACTTGCAAGTGCCAATGCCAAGTCCCTTTATCAAATAAATCCATAATCTATATATAACCAAATATGGTCCATTTAGTACTTTGTCCGCATTACCCAAATTGTAAAGCAATATTCACTTGTAGACTTTTCACTTCTATTTTGAAAAATGTTCTAATATCTGTGCTCCTATTTAGATAAAGATTTGTTTTCATGGCAGGGACATATCATAAATTTGCATCCAATACTTGTAATGTTCCCCTGCTAATGTTTTAGGACTGAAAAATGCATAAAGATAAAAGCAACCTTTGACAGTGATCTTATTTTGATAAACGAACCCTTTTCCCCAATGTTTTCAGGTGATTGGTGTTTTGCAGGTACAATGATGCATTAGTAGGAGTTTAGTAATTCAAAGTACATTTCTACTGCAACATTTTTTTTAGTAGACAACTGCTGCATTTCTAGGGAACAAAAGTTGAGGAAGTTAGATTAATTGAACAATGAACAAGCAGATAGTGATTTCTTTTTCCTTTAATAAACAATCAGTTATAGTCATGTAAATATCTGAGACCAAACCCCATTAACTCATAAGTTCACACAGAAAGGAAAGAAGTTAATTAAAAGTTACAAGATATTGAAATTTACTCCAGTAAATTCTAGGTAATCCAGATCCCTAATCCCAGTCTAATCTCAAAGCTGCTCCAAAAATATATCTTCCGAAGTTTAAAAAAAAAACGACAATAACCTCCATTTCATTAAAATTCTGCTGTGTCTCTCCTTTCCAAGAACCCAATGATGGGCCTAGTTGTTAGCTATTTTGCTTTACACGAGTGGTTTCTACTGTTACCCCCAAATTTTGCAGCATCAACTCGTATGCAGCTTGCATTTGCCTTCAGAAGAATTTGGCTCGCCTCGCTTTGGAACTATGGATTAATTTTCTTACATCACTTCTAATTGACAAAAAAGCACAAACCATAGCAACTATCATTGTTGGGTACAGATGAGTAGCTTTTGTCGGAACCATGCTATAAAATTGTCCCAGAATGAGTTCTCTGAGAAAACCCCATGCTATAAGCATCATCCCGAAGAGGCTCATTCTTCCATGCCTTAAGAGACATATAAAAGCTCCTACTACAGACAAGTAGCTTCCAGCAAGAATCTGGTGCAATGCAAAAATTGGAATGTGAAATCATTGAATAGCAAAAAATTCTATCTAATTAGAGATTGATCAAGCAATATATGAGTCCTTTGCCAGTAAAAATTTGAATTAAACCAACCTCTAGGCGCTGGATATCAGATGCTGCAGGAGCTTTCCTCAAACTGGTGATGTTATATAACTTCAGCAATTTGCTATAGCTAGGAAAAGGCCTGTTCTTGATAATAGCAGTGGCAATAGCCCCTGGATACAGAAGGACCTTAACTGCATATGCTGGGAAGAGCTCACTGGCAATCAACTGAGAGGATGTTACCTCAATAGGTGTTTTGCACATTCCAAATCTACATGGAACCCTGTACCAGTAGACCAAAACAAAATTTTAAGCGGATAAATAAATTGAATTTCTAGAAGATTGACAAATATTTTGAATTCTTTCTGGGAATTAGTGTTATTTTGACAGATTCCCCAAACTAATTTTCTCATCTGCAGAAGAGTTTTGAGGGGATTTCAGATAATAAGACCAAAGCTGCATTAATCCTGGATCTGTATGCAGCCCTACTATGCCATAGAAAAAATGCATTTGAACTAGAAATTAGATTCTGCAACATGGAGTTGAGTGGATTCTCGGTGCATTTCCTTTGTTAATTTGTCATATGTTGCATTAAATTTTTTAAGCACCAAAGAAGAAATTTTCTTTTCTCTGCTAAACATATATGAGTTATATGTGACCGGTTGCAATGCAAGAAAAATTATCACGAATATGAACAAAGAAAGAAAACCCAGATTAAAGAAGTGAAACGAGAGATGAAAAGTCACAGTTCTGACATAAACATTATGCAAGAAAAAAAAATTGCATCAAACTTTCCCAGATTTTGGCTAAAATAAAATTTGGTACCAACCAAAAAGAAAAAAAAAAAAAGCAATAGATGGCATGGAATATTCTGTTTCTGTGAAATAAAAAAAGGAGCCCCAGAGGCAGGTGATGTTTATAGATATGTTGTTTTGCTCTCATGTTGCTGGGTACAAACAACCAATCCATCATTGTCAAAAAAAAAAAAAATGAAAGTAAAAATAAACAAAAGATTGGAGGACTAATGTATTTACCGGAAAAGAGGGATTTGGAAGATAATAAGAAGGAAATACATAAAAGAAGCAATGGAGGATATGTAGCTTGCCCATTCCCTTGAAGAAGCCATTGAAGAAGGAAATAAAGGAAAACAAAACAAAAAACAAAAAAATATTGCAGAGAGGAAATATGAGAGAAAGAAGTTATTGCGGTAAAACTTGTGGGAGATGGAGATCACAGGGGTCATTTTGTTCAACACGTTCTCGATTTACGACACTACCTTAATCAGGTTTCTTAACTGCCATTTTTTCCACTGTCCTCTTTCTGCTTTGTATTAAAGACATGCAGAAACATACAAACTTGTTGCGTCTCGATCGTAACCAATGAAGATTTTTGAGACGTATATCTTGTCTTCATTTGAAGGTTAGAGTAACTTACTTACCTTGAACTTTGTGTATAAAAAAAAAGTGAAAGCTTGAGTTCCAAAACTAAATTCTTCTATTTTAAGAGTATTACAGTAAATATTTGGTGTTATTTCTGAACATCAAGCTCCATAAACAAAAGCAGGTTCCGGTGGTTGTAGTCCTTGAGTGCAATAATGGGGAGAGAGGCAATCTTGAAAGTAAGCAACAACATGAATATCTATGGAGAAATTTATTATGCTGTTAGCATTTGCCTGTCAATATGGTTAACGGTTATGAATATTGGTTAAAGGTAATTAAAATATTGTTTTAATTTTTCATTTAATATGTTTATTTTATCAAATTTAAGAATGAATAATATAATACATTAATTACAAACTTCTTTCTATTAATATTTTCTTATTTAAATATTACTTGCTTTTTTTATTTCTTCAAACTCATTATAAAACAAGAAATCTCCTTATCATGAATCAAAGAATTTTTTTGAAAATTCTTGGATACTACAGCTTCAAACTATACAAGCATATGTTTAATTTAAAATGATACTTATCTGTCCTGATTTGTATACAAACTGATACATGTTGATTAGGATCCCAAGAACATTAAATAATCTTCTCAGAATATGAAGAAGGAGGATTGAAACATTCATAAGTAATTTAGGATATTAAAAAATCATAATCAAATGGTAATGATATCAAATGAAGCAAAAAAAAAAACAAAAGAATAAACACAATTCATAGCACCTCTAAATCCAACTGTATTCCCTTCCATTAACTTCTTTCTCCTGCATTCATAGAGAAAAAGTTGTTGACAATCATCATTGTTAATCTGTCAATACCTAAAGCTTTCAATTCATGAATGAATGTCTACAAAATTTTGAAGCCAAAAGAGCCAAAATTTAACATAAAAAAATTAAAAGAAAATTGAAAAAAAAAAAAAACCTCAAATAGAAACTCAACAAAATTCATCTCAGCGTATTTCCATTTTAAAAAACCTTTATGAGTGCAAGGTACATAAAGGTCATCCTAGCCTTGGCCAAAAAAAAACCCCATTAGTAACCAATCGCACCTAAAAACATAATAGTCTTTTCTAACGACCATACTGATAAAGCAACACAAACTTAAGAGTAAAATTGCATGAAATCCAATAATCCTCTTCAATCACTTGAAAAATAAGACCTTCTGCTTCATGAGAGAGCTTGGGGATAAATTCCTTCAAAATTGGAGCCATTTAGTGACAAACTATAACATTCCTTCAAATTTGGATCCTAGTTTCTAAGTCAGATTATAGTTGTTTAAGAAAAAATCTGAACAAAGCATCATGTAAAAGCTATTAAAAAGACAAAAGGGCTTTCGATTTCTCTTTTTCTTGCTGCCTTGTATATAGGGGTGTGGACAGAATGAATGGTAATATATAATACTATCTCAAAATAATTGCCCAAAGTTCCCAAAGTAAACTTCAAGGAGAAGAAACTGACTAAATAAAGCAAATAGCTAACTTAAAAGTTACTTTTAGATTAAACAATTAAGTAAAGTGATATGCTAGTTACAATGGGGAGAGTTTTCTCCCAATGAACCCAAGAAAAAGAAAAGTTAGGTCAATTTAAATTCTAATTATTACAATATTAATTCTATAGTCAACAATTCAGTAGTTAGATGCTAATTTTGACTTTATTTTTTCTTTTTATTGTTAAAACTAATTGCACTTACAGATTGCAACCTAACTTTTAAATTGTAAAATAACATTAGAGTTAAATGATTTGGTATATCTTGAATAGTTGTACTTGTTAGAGTTTGTTCTGCATAATTCTTGTTATTTCCATACCATTTACATAAGGTCATTGCCTCTTAGCACCAAAAGCAAGCAAGAGCCAAAGCTTTTCTTCACATGCATTTCCCAACAACCTTATGCCTCTTGTAAGTGTAAATATTTATGCTTTCCACTTGGTAAGCATCCTGACAATTGAAGATCCCAAAAGGCTAAAATATTAACTACTACATCCCTATCTCTATCTACTTTATGCCTTCTTTAACCATACAAATCAATAAATTTCAGTTAATAGCCTCTTAAAAAAGGTGTGACTTGTTGATCTTCTTATCAAATAGGTATATGTATCTTCTCCTCCCCACTTCCCCTTTTTTTCTTTATTCTTTCTTTTTTTTTTTTTTTTTTTTGCGTATGAATGTGCTTAATGTTTATAATGGTAACATGACTATCATCCATGCAACCTAATCTTAAATAATATTATCGTTACATTATTTTAAATAAAAATAAAATAATATGCAAACCTTGCAAAAATTAATTTAATCAAATTAAAAACCAAAAAAAATAACATTGAAAAATCATGTTAAACAATATAAATCATGTTCCACCAATCAATAGTGTCATAACGTCTATATCCGGAGATCTATCGCTAGACATTGACTTTTAAGAGTCGCCACCAATCTTTTTTATTTAGGTGCGATTGGCCACCTAAAGAATCTGTCCTTTTAGGGAACACCTAAGTTTAAGGGTCCCTAAAAGAATAGGTTCAGGTCTACTGACCAGAACAGAGTTCGGGAGTTCAGTTACGTGTGAGGAAGGTTATAGCACCCTTACAACGCCCATCAAAAGATGGTACATGCTTAAATTTGTGTTATCCAATGAGCCTTAAAATTTTACCAAGTAATTAATTATTAGAAATTATTCTCAATTGACTCTAATACTTTTAGCAGAAAATTGAGAAAATTCTCTCACCTCAAGAGTATACAAGAAAAACTACTGTTTCACTTGCAGAGGCTCCATTGTCAGATTATTTAACATAAAAAAATAAAAAGGAAGAAAAGAATGATTCAAGAATGATTCTTCTTGTGCAGGGAAAATTAATACTTTCAACTTTTCCTCAAAATTTTATTTTTTTGAAAATTTATTTTTAAGAAAAATTGATATTTTCAACTTTTTCCCAAAAATATTTTTTGAAACTTTTATTTTCAAGGAAAATTGATACTTTCAACTTTTCTCAAAAATATTTTTTAGAAAATTTATTTTCAAGGAAAATTGATACTTTCAACTTTCCTCAAAAATATTTTTTTAGAAAATTTAATCTCGAGAAAAATTGATACTTTCAACTTTTCCTCAAAAATCCCTTTGAAAATTTATCTTTAAGGAAAATTGATACTTTCAACTTTTTCCCAAAAATATTTTTTTTTGAAAACTTTAATTTCGAGAAAAATTGATACTTTCAACTTTTCCTCAAAATCTTTTTTTTTTTTGAAAATTTATTTTTAAGGAAAATTGATACTTTCAACTTTTTCTCAAAAATATTTTTTGAAAAACTTTAGCTTCGAGGAAAATTGATACTTTCAACTTTTCCTCAAAAAAACCTTTTTTTGAAAATTTATTTTTAAGGAAAATTGATACTTTTAATTTTTCCTCAAAAAAACCTTTTTTGAAAATTTATTTTTAAAGAAAATTGATACTTTCAACTTTTCCTCAAAAATATGTTTTTTCTTGAAATTATTATTTTTATTATTAACCAATGTTTTTAAATCATGAAAACATAAAATAAAATGAGTGAATAAATGACATGCTACAACCAAAAAAATCAAAACGGGAAAGAAAATATCTTATTAAAAATTGAGCTTAATCTCGGATCAAAACCAATTTAAGTCAACTTTCTGAATTAGGCCTAGATTGTTTCTTGAATGGATTCCAACCCAAGGCTTTGGTTTTGATTAGTGAATGGCTCGGGTTAAGGGTCTTGGGTGAGCCTGTCTTGAAGCTGGTTTTGCTAACTGTATTCCTCTCTATCATCACAAACATAGGATAGGCAGCTACCCTTTTTCGAATAAATGCAGAGATGTCTAGTGCTAACAACAATTCTGGAGGTGACACACAAACAGTCTCCACGTCCTTCTGAGCAAAGGGTGGCAGCAACTGACTGTTTTCAAAAAAATGGAAGGTGGCATTGGCAAGCCAGGTGGGAGTCGGAATAAAGGTTGCTGCTGTGGAGGAAGACCATTTGTTGACCCGTAGTAACCTTGCCAATATATAAGCATGGAAAGCCCACCGTTTGTGGTTGGAGCAGATGATGGCCTCCAGCCGCCAGCCTTGGCAGTTTCCCAAAGTTCTTCTGCATCAGAAGGCTGGAGAGATCCACGATTTCCAGCAATTGTAGCCGAAAGTAAAAGCGAGAGTGTACAGATCAAAAGTACCGCAACAACAATCGCTATCTTGGCGTAAATTCCCTTTAGTCCTCATTCTGTTTCTTGCCTCACATGCTGCCTATACAGCCCCAACCTCCGCATGGTTAGAAAAGGAAAAGATTCTTTCAGATCTAGAGATATTGCTATATTTCTGCGTTTCTCCAGTTGTGAGGGTGGTCGGTACTGTGTCATTAACCGAATCAATACCAGCCTGAGGCATTGCCATGGTTGTGATTGTAGCTGCAAACACTGGTGATTTGAACAAATAGCTGCTAGCAGCACGGTTTGATGCACAACTGATAGTGTATGATCGAAAGGCAATGCGGAAACCTGACCTTGAGAACTATTATCAGAATGGGAAGCCATCTGCTGGAGTCGCTTTAAAGAATGCGATGCTTCTATCAAGTGCACCATCTGCTCTCCTTTTGCATCAGCTTGGTTGCCAGGGGCCATGCTAGGGCCATTTAGATGAGCAAGTTTCAACAGAAAGGTTCTGATGCATCGGTATATTCCTTCTTTCTATTTCCTAATGAAAGGAAATCCAGATAAGTTCCGATTGGCATAGAAATCAGGATAGAAGGAAAAACTGCAAGCGTCCTTTGCTAGGCCAGACGACTTAAACACAGCAGTCTGACTCCGAACTCCAGCAACCGTATGGGACAAAGGGAGGCTCAGCGGGATGAAACCAATAAAAAGACTTGGAGCGCCCAATACATAAAGTATGTTCAAACGGAAGCCTGTCGTCACTAGATGATTTTCGTATGAACATATGATTACAGAAATGGACGATGGCCTCCGACTCTGAACCTTGGTGAAATGATAGAGCTGAGTCTAGCTTCAGGCTCAAAGATTCGAAAGACACTCGACTGAAAGGAGAGGGATGAAGCAAGGCAAAAAAAAAAGGAATGAAATGACTCCAGCGTAAGCGAGAAGGGATCGCCACCAAACGCTTTTCCAACTTAAACTCCAGCAGGAACTGGCCTTAGGACGATGGCAGAAATCGGGATGGCTGGGAATAAGATATATATGAAAAAAAACGTATCACAGGCTTAGTGAAACTGCCTCTCTCAAAGCTGCTATATTGGACTCCTATGCTTCTCTTAATGCAGTTAT